CAAATTTTTTCTTCATTTTTTCATTTTAGCGCCGCTAACTTGATTGAGCTGCAAAAGCATGCAATTGGAAATTCGTGTGGGTGAGGGAAGGGAGGGTACTAGCTAAAATAAGCGAAAACAACAAATTTATTTACGTTAACACCGAGTCAGATATAAACCTAATTAAATAACCTAAACAAATTAAAAAAAACAAATAAAAAATTTATTTACTTTATATAAACATTAATTTATTTCCACATTTATGAACACTATTACTAACTTAAAATATTCAACATTTAATGAATTTGATATAAGCATTATTAAAGACTGTAATTTATCGTACATTTACTTGAATACTCGATCTTTGAGAAAGAATTTCAATAGCTTTCGAGCAACAATAAACCATCTCGTAGATAATATTGATGTTATCGTATTGGTAGAAACAAGCATTACTAATGAAGAGCAAAACCTATTCAACATAAATGGCTTTAGCTCACAGTACCTAAACAGAGCAGGCAGAATAGCCGGAGATATAGCAGTATTTGTAAGAGAAAGTCTTATTGTTAACTACATAATGCATGATACTCATTTCTTCGAAACAGTGGAGGTGCAGATTAACAAAAACAATTTTTCGTGCACAATTGATTGCTATATACCGACCGCCGCGACTAAATGTTCGTAGCTTTATCTCAGAGCTGGAAAATTTGTTTTCGCCAACCACCAAAGATGCCTGCGTAATATTAATCTGTGATATCAATATTAACATAGGTAATTTCGATAAAGAACACCACAGCGAATACTTAAATATGCTTGCATCAAATGGATTTGAAAATGCAGTATCAGGGGCTACTAGAGTAGACATAAGCAGAGGTACAAGCTACAGCATTGATCATATGCTCGTCAAAGGGAAAAGCTTAAGCATAACATCAGCAATAGTGGAAACAGCCATAACAGACCACTTTTCGCTCTTAGGTGAAATTACCTTAGCCAGCAACGAAAATTCCAACCAAAAAAGAGAAACGCGCAGACAAACTTTTAGTAATAGAAAAATAAACGAATGCATTCGTACCATAAACTGGAATAGAATTTTAACGCTAGATCAGGCAAATGAAATGTGCAATGACATCCAAACTACCTTTAAAAGTATCTACGAAAAATCCCTGACCACATTTAAATGTACAAGGTAACGTAAAGCAAACGAATGGATGAACGATGAGCTAAGGCTAGTCTGCAACATGAGAGATAGATTTATATAAAAAATGGCGCGCAAAACCCGACGACAAACGAAGACAAATGGAGTACAAAAAATTTCGAAACCAAGCTAATAAGAAAATCCAGTACACCAGAAATAGACACTATCAAAACAAATTTGCGGAACACAAACACGATACAAAGAAACTCTGGCAAAAAATAAACGATATCATTGACAAAAAGCATAACAGCGTGGACGAAATTATTACTTAAAACTTCAAAGACCAGCATCTGAAAGATGTATGCGACACCTTTGCAATCACTTTTACAGAAGGTGTAGAATCCGTAGTACACACCTGTGATATCTTGACTGGGGATGTCAAAGAAGATAAGCGTAGTAACTCAATGTATATGTCGCAAACAGATGAAAATGAAATTCACTCAATTATGAATGAGCTTAATGCAAATAAAGGGCCAGGAAGTGATGCAATAGGACCAAAAGACCTTAAAAATAACGCAAATATAATGGTCCCTGTGATAACCAAACTTATAAACCTTACTCTAAGTCAATCCACTGTATCGGAAAACTTAAAAATGTCTCTGATAAAGCCAATTTTCAAAGCATAGAAAAGATAATGGAAGAAGTTGTCGTCAGAAGGCTAAGAGAGTTTATAACAAAATATAATGTAATACACCGTAATCAATATGGATTCCAAAAAGGGAAAAACATAAACCAGCTACTAGCAAACTTTGCTACCTCATTGAATGAGAACCTCGGTCAAAATCACCACAACTTGGTCTTGTTCATCGACTTCAGTAAGGCATTTGATACACTGTCGCATGAAAAGTTACTCGAAAAACTTGAAAATACAGGCATACGCGGAAACTGCTTAGACTGGTTCAGAAGCTACTTAAAAAATAGAAAATTTAAAGTTAAAATAAATGAAGAAGAAAGCAATGAAACAGTCAACTTATACGGCGTTCCACAAGGATCAAAACTGGGGCCACTGTTGTACATTATTTACGCTAACGGTATGTTACAAAGCCTAAAGAATTGCGAAGTATATGCATACGCTGACGATACTGCCGTAGTTGTATCTCACAGGGACTTGAACACAGCTGTGCAAATAATGCAAAGAAAGCTTGATATTATCACAAGATGGTCCCATGATAACGCCTTGATAATTAACGCTACAAAAACAAAGCTTATGTATATTAGACCTCCGCACTTTTAACCCGCTGATATAAGATTAAAATATCACGATCACCGATGTTTGCATAAACACAACATAAAACACATAACAACTTGTGATTGCACTACGTTAATTGAAGTTGTAAGCACTTATCGGTATCTAGGATTTATTGTAGACAAGAACTTAAAATGGCGTGACCATGTATTAGAATTGCAGAAAAAACTCCGAAAGATGTCATATTTTCTCCGGCATCTAAGTTACTGCAGCGATTATGGTGTCCTCAGACAGGCATATCTATCGCTTGTAGAAACCCGCCTACGACACGGCATAACAGCATGGGGTACAACAACCAGGCGTAAACAACTGCAACAAAGCCAGGATTATATACTGAAAATTCTTTCAAAAAAACTAAAACTCAGCAACGATAAACCTAAAAATAAAGAACTCAAAATACTTGATATACGTACTCCAGTCACGTGGCGCCGTCAGGTTTTATTTAGTCTTTCCGGGGTACCGGGGCTCTGCCTCGGATGACCTCTCTCTTCCCCCTTACTCGTGGGATTCTATGGAAGTAAAACAAATTAATAAAAAAAACCATAAAAGCTCTGTGCCCTCTAACAGTGGGCAACGGTCAGCAGTCTCAGAGGTGCACGCGATGCCCAACGAGATTGCTGAACAAATGGCGATTGCGGCGGACGAACTGGGTGCAAATCTAAACGGCCAAGGCGCTCAACCCTCTCGGGACGCTGTAATGGACGAAATCGACTTTGATCCAAACGGCCTTCTCAGCAACCCGGTGGCCATGGATGTCGATACTGCCAAAATGGACTCTGGTTCAAATGGCAACGACATCCAAATACCCACAGACGAGGAGGAGGCGCTCTTATCGTCACAGCAGGAGGAAGCTAGTACTCCTAAAAGAAAACTCTCTGGAGCAGGTAAAAAGCGCTACAAATTCTACCTCTCCAGAGGTGTCAGCGAAAGCGAGGCCAAACGGCTAGCCATTATTCCGATGGCAAAAGGAAAAGCCGAACTGGCTTTGCTGGCTGGCACAAAGCTTAAGAGGAACCGATCGGAAACCAGGTCCAGCTGACAAAAGGGCCCATATGGGACCAAAGGAACCTAGTGTTAAGGCAACTTTTGCCGATGTCACAAAGGCGCCGACCTGTCAGGCGGACATTGGTAATGGGGTTAAGTTAGGGTTACTCCCCAAAGGGTACCCTAAGGCACTTTGGTCCTTAGACCAACTACAGGCCATTCAGACGGCCATCCTGGAGGAGGTGAGGCGGCAGCGAAAGGGCTCTGTGAAGCCCAAGTTTAGCGGTTGCACCTTCCGTCCGGGATGGATGTCCATTGGCTGCGGAGACGCTGAAACGCTGGAATGGCTGCGCAAGGTATCCCAAACCCTGAAGCCTTGGAAGGGCGCGGAAATTGTGGCAATGAATGCCACTGACGTGCCCAAACCCAGTGTATACGTTGGGTACTTTCCGGAGCCATCAACCACTCCAGTGGACAGTATCCTTGGCCTTGTCGAGGGTCAGAATGAAGGGCTGCGGGTAGGTAGCTGGAGGGTGCTCAACAGGGTACAGAAGGGACCCACCACTGGGCTCACTCTAGCGGTTGACCCGCACTCAGCGGAGACACTCGACAGGCTGGGATACCTAGTCAATTATGGATATGGCAGGGTGCGAATCCATAAAAAAGGGAAGACGACTGAGTCGTCAGACCCGAAGGGTACACAGCCTGCTATAGCCAGTTCCTCCTCCACTGCACAAAGTGCGTGCTTCAAAGAGGGACCTTGCGGTTCCAAGGACGTACCCAAGGGACTGCAAAGGTTACCTTCAGAGTAGTCAGGGGCAGCGGAGAAGGAAAAAGCACCTGTCCAGGAGTCCATAGAGCGGCCCTGCTGCTCAGAAGACACTCCTGGCACGGAAAAGAGGGTACCTTCCAGCCCAGAGAAATCAAAGGCCCCTTTCGCCCAAAATCCCTTCCGTCCTCCGCTAAATGCGAATCGGAGACAAGGTCGAGGGGAGATTTCAATGGAGGAGAAGACCCTGATGGCCACCAATAGGGGGAAAAAGATGGCCAAGCGGGCTTCAAGGCCGAAAAATGGCAAACCCCCCAGGCGATAGGCCTAGGCACATCAAGTGCCTGCAAGTGAACCTCCATCATGTAAAGGCGGCCTCTGACGTCTTATGCAGGAGGTTCAAAACAGAACTCTTGGATGTCGCATTCATCCAAGAACCGTGGGTTTTCGCCGGGGCTATTAAAGGCCTAAACGACTGTGATGGTAAGATAATTTACGATACCACACACTGCAGGCCCAGAGCGGCCATATTACTACGTAATAACATGACTTTTGTTCCCATTTCAGAGTTGACACAACAGGACTTAGCTGCTGTATGGACTAAAGTGCCCACTCAAATGGGAGAACAAGAGGTCGTTCTCGCTTCAGCTTACCTCCCAGGCGACAGCTGTGAGATGCCCACAAGGGAAGTAATAGCCCTAGAGGAGTACTGCAGAAGGAGAAAGCTGAAACTAGTAATGAGCTGTGACGCCAATGCCCATCACTGTGTTTGGGGTAGCTCGGACACCAATTCTAGAGGTGAGTCATTTCTTGAATTTATCACTAGGAACAATTTATTTATTCTTAACCGGGGTAATGAGCCGACCTTTGTCAATGCTATAAGAGGGGAGGTTCTAGACTTGACAATTTCCTCAACTAGCTTGTCGACCTTTTTCTCAAACTGGCATGTCTCAAATGAGGTATCTATGTCGGACCACCGGCATATTCGATTCGATATAGAAGCCCAAAGAGTAACAAACCTTGTTTACAGAAATCCCAGAAAAACAAACTGGGAACTCTTTCGCCTCCACATAGAGCGGGAAGTGAATGGTTCTACGGCACCAATTTCATCCGTCTATGAACTTGAGGACGAGGCGAGAAAGTTCCAAGATGTTCTTAAACAAGGTTTTGAAGAGAGCTGCCCACTGAGAACCAAGAAGTCTCAAAGGGATGTCCCTTGGTGGAGCGATTCTCTCGGAAAACTAAGGAAAAGAGCCAGGAAACTTTTCAATAGGGCAAAGTCAACAGGTGACTGGACCGCCTACAAGTCAGCCCTAACCGCTTACAACTGTGAGCTCAGAAGGTCTAAAAGGGCTACGTGGCGTGAGCACTGCGGAAGTATTTCCTCTCTTCCAGAGGTGCATCGCCTTCAGAAGGCCCTAAAACTAGATCATCTGAAAGTCCTCTGCACTTTGAAAAGACCAGATGGTACCTACACTGGCACCCCGGAAGAAACCAGCAGGCTTCTGCTAGAAACCCACTTCCCGGGATGTATTTCACAAGGCACATGTCTTTCGACAAACACGGCGAACGCTGTGTGCGCAAACAGGAGGACTAGAGGCCT